TATATTAAATCTTTATATGATAAGTTTAAGAAAATTTAGTACCAGAATTGGTCCAGAGGGAGTACTAAACTGCAGAAGGCATTGTTTCTTTTAATCTTTTATAAGTCAGGTGAGGGGATCACTGTAAGATTACAATGAAATTATATTCCTTTTCATACCCCACCATTATTAAGGTGTAGTGAAGATTTCACCTTGTTAGTAAGTACTGTGTCAGGATACCGAAGTGCACTGACCAGATGTTGAATGCTTTATGCAAAGCTCTGACTCAGCATTCCTCTCCACATCCATGCACATCCTACCTCCCAAACTCGAGTCTGGTCTAAGTACATGGCTGGATTTGTGGACAAGGGCTTCCTCAGTCCATCCTCAAATTGTGCTGCTAGCAGCACGAAAAGAAATCAAGAGCAGGGGAAGGAGAAATCTAACAGCACTCAGAGAGATCTCAGTCGCAGAGAAACAGGCTGTGATTTGGAATGTTGATTATCTGCACTTGTGCTTCCACACTGAATAGAAAACTCATCATTTAAAAGATTACCTTGTAGATGATGATAAGAGCACATTTTCTTCCTCTGCAGACAACATCTGTGCTGTGTGTACCATTATGGCTTGTGCTTTTATCAGTGATTTAGAATGGAGCTGTCAAAAACTTTAAAAAGCTTCTATTAAAGTAATGTAGATTTATCTATCTAAGACCTGTGAAATTTATCAAGGACCCCAGATTTGGCCTCCTTTTCTAATAAGAGCGTGCAGCTGCACAACAGGGCAGTCAGCTCCCCAGCCTTCTAGGAAGTCAGGCATTTGGTTAGTGGCCCAGATTTGAGAATCCCTAGAGAGCTCTCAGGAGAACAGAGCTTATGGATGTTTAGAAACCGGTCCTTTCCTGTCATGGGGACAGCAGTGTTACTTGGCTGCAGTGACATGGGGTGGAGTAGCTTAGCACTAGGAGCACAAGACCCCTGCTTCTATTGCCCTGCAGCATGCACATGTGTGGATTTGATTGCAGTGCTTGCAAATGTGGCTGAATATTAAAAATTGAAAGGTAGTAGTTAGTTTTACTGTATCATCTTTCAGTTTATTGTTACTGAAGCTGTTATATAGTGTTGGGAGTTTTAATGCTCTGCTTTTCTTGTCTCTTTTAATATAATTTCAATGTATGACACTGAAACTTTCTTTTATCCAGCTGGGCATTTGCAGCTGATGTATTGATTCCTGCAATGAAAGCAGTGTTAGCTGATCCTGGCTTCAAGCAGTAGCTTTGAAGCTTGAGATGGGGAGAGCCCCAGGAGATCCATGTTACTGCCTACCTGGTAGCCAGAATAAGATCTATTAGAATAGTTTGGATATCTCCTCCTATTTCCATTGCTCTCTGTTTTTTAACTTCCCTCTAGCACTTTTTGGAAAACTGCTCCTTTCCCTCGGTTGTAATCACACTGCTGTGTATTACGAAAGTGTCAGTCATAACAACTTGCAAATGCTTGACCCTGCTCAGCGTGGAAACAGAGATACAATTGCAGCTGAGGTGCCTTTGCAGGCCACAATGACAGATCCTGCTCCCTGAGTTTATTTCGAGTTAGTGCCTGACCACAATCTTAGGGGTTATAATGTATCACAGAAAGTTATCATTTTATGAGCAACGCTGAATTACTTTTACTCTTCTGAGAATTGTTGTAGTAATGCAGATGATTTGGTGAAACTTTAGGGTGGGTGATTGCTTGCTTGCTACTCAGAATTCTCACAGGAATTCCATTTGAGCATAGAATCATTGGCTTTTTGCTCCAGTGAAAAGGCAAACAGTTACAAGAGTATCTTAATGCTGATAGTAGCAGGTATGGAAGTGCATGATGTGCCTTGCAGCACTTCAGTAGTTAATTAAAAGAAGTTGATCTCAGAAAATGCCCTAAAGGCAGTCAGGAAAATTCTGCTCCTAGGTAAAACCAAAACATGCGGAAAAGAGCATAACCTGAAAAACAAAGATATGTCAAAAAAAAAGAGGAAAAAAGAAAATGAGACTGTACCATTCTGTGTACTAGCTAGGGGTGAACTGTGAATCCTGCACTTCTGGAGGGTCTAGACAGATCAAAATACTAGCATCAAAGTATCAGAAAGCAAGACCAAGAGTAATCATTTGATAAGGAAACAATTTCTCAGACTGATAATCTTAAATCCAGAGTAATCTTTGAAATCAGCCATGCTCTTGGCCACTTGACCACTTCCTTCAAGAGTGGCCACTTGACCACTACCAAATAACTGAGACTCAGATCAAAAAGCAAGGTTGAAGGATAACAGTCACCAAGTCAAGCAGGTAAAGCACAGAGAGATGAACATGCTGTGTCAGTTAGTGTGAGCTGGAGCATAAAGGAAAAAAATGCTGAGAAAACAGTCAGTCACTTATCCTAAATTTTACCAGAGTAGGTTTTTTAGACAGAGGGAACAGCTGTGCTAGCTCAGATACTTGTTTCATAGTAAGGGAGACAGTATTCGAGCAGGAGATCAACAGGGTTTTAACTTGAACACATTAGGCCATCTATTACATTTCAGTTGAATGCTCATGAATGTACTGTTGTGCTTCCAGAGACACCTCAATTTATTCTAAAAGAAAAAACATTAATAGTAAAATTTCAGGTTATTGTAAGAGTGAGCTATCCCTGTGAAAGGAAGAAGTGTGTTAATGGCTAAGTAAGAAAGCAAAATTGTGAAAGAATACAGGCAAAAGAATATCTGTTATTAGGTTCTGTATGTATCAAAATTCTTGCTCACAGTAAAATAAGAGTGCCTGTAGTGGTACAGCATATATTAGAGCTGTTTACAGAGAAACTCAGAATGTCTTCAAAGGTAAATAAGTTCTCTAATGATTAGGGGAAGAGTTCAGTTATCTGGCAATTCATGTCCCTGGGAGCTTCCCCTTCTCCACAGATAGACAAGTACATAGGCTCATTGCTTGCAACTGGGATAACCAAGAGAATCACTGTCACCCTATGGACTCTGTAGGGCTAGGGAGATAAGAAGAAGGAACCTTTGGCCTCTGTGTAGGCTGAAAGGAGATTAATATATATCTATGTGTATACATAAAGGAAACATTTTCTATAGCCAGAAAATACAAGTGTTTGGGATTGGATAAAGCAGAAACCAAGCATTTTTAGGTTAGAAGGCATATGACAAATGTCCATAAAAATGTCAGCTACAATATTGCAATTGCTGACGAAATGACAAACTTTCCTGGCAGTGTAGATTATTATTGCCAGAGAGAAGGGTCAGAGTAAGAATATGCAGATAGTCTGTTAGTAAGCAGTGTCCAAAACGGCAATCTAAAAGTTTCTGGTGCTAAGCTGAGGAGAGGGCTCAGGTTAAACAGGCTTTTGCTTACAGCTCCCACTACATCCTCAATGATAATAATTAAAGTGTTGCTGGGAAACCTGTAAATTGTAAAATAAAGATCAGAGAAGGCCTAAAATATTTTATTAAAGCCTCCAGTGAACTGTAGGGTAGAGGGAAGTTTTCCAAAATGCTGACAGGACATCATTAAAGACTGCAGTCCATACATCTGCCGCGTGCTCCTGCTGCATTAGCAGACTCTAGTAGCAGCCAGTGTAAGGACAATTTCAGTACTGAGTAATTCATAAATTGGTCATACTTGTAAAGATTAGTTGTTTTTATGTCTAGCAGTGGGAGCCAAATGATTTTCAAGTGAATCACTGACTGCCTTATTGTTAACAGTGAGTGTGCCAGATTACCTGCAGACCTGAAGAAACAGTTAATTCAAAAGCAAGGCTAGGTTTTCTTCCACTCCTGCTTGTGGAAGGTGCCAGAACTTCACTTCCCACAGAAGCATTGATGAGCTATTGCTATGCTAGAAATTTTTCAGACCAATTTTTTCTGCAACAATGAGCCTGTGAAAGCTGGGAGAATGATACACTGCTGGCTGTTTCCAATCTTTTAATCGATCTCCCCTGTCTAACTAAACAAAGAACCAGTCTCACACAGACAGGTGAGGGCAGCACATGTGAATATCCTGACAAAAAGTAAAATGACTGCAGCGGTATCTTTCTTTGTCAAATGGGTGAGTGGTGTTAAGCAGACAGTAAACCTGCCTCAGCTGTAGCAGCATTGAATTTAAGGGCTTTGTTAACTGCCTGAGGAAAAAAAAAAAAAAAAAAGGAAAAGCAGAATGCATTTGAATGCCCTGCAGCCTCTCTGAGCCTGGAATAGTAAGCTAGAAATAACAAGATTGCTATTACATATCAGAGAGGCCAAAAGCTTAGCAGGAATCGAAAAGGATTAACATTTCATAGAGTTGGAAAGAATATGAAGAGTTGTTATTGTTTCCTGAAACAAAAGTGAATTGTGAGAGCTATGAAGCCACCTGGTCAGTATCTAAGCAAGCCTTTTAGTGAAGGAAGGTAGGAGGAGACTTGCCATCAGGAATTAGAGAACTCTACATCCCAGGATATATTCCAAAAAAAGAGATGTGAGGGAGGGCCAAAAAAAATTACATTCTTAGAAGATGTGAGAATCTTTTTGATCTAAACTGGTTCTTGCACCCTGAAACTGCTTCAAAAGGGATCTGACACAATTGCCGCCTGCTAATGCTTTCCTCTACTACAATCACCGTTTGACCTGAGCAAGCAGTTCATGTTTCAGTTTGGTGGCTGAAGAACAAAGTATCTGCTTTCTAATATTCAGCATGTTAAAAATTCATTATAGACTGGATATTTTATTAGTGACTCCTTTTCCCAAAGAGTGGCATGACTGAAATCTATTCTGACTTTCACCAAGGTGTATCTTGATTATCTCAACTAAATCAACAGAGCAAGTGATCAGCATCTTGCTCACACAGTAACTTTCAGTGGCCACTGCTACTGATGTGCCAAGAACTGTGTTTGCTGTGATGTCCTAGCTAGGTATTTCTTGCTTTGCTTTACTCTTTTCCATTAATTGTTGGAAACATTCTTGATATTTAAGACTTTTTGGGCTCTAATCTTACCTTCCTCTTTCCCTCCTAGTGTCTATCAACTTGTTGTGAAGGAGGAGAAGCTGCAGAAAGCACGGAGAGCTGCAGACATCGTTGAGTGCTTCTCTGTCCCAGTGAGCTACAAGAACGCTTCCAGTCTTGACTCACCACACTACTTTGCAGCTGAGCTGAAACCCATCAACCTGCCCGTCACGCAGCCGTTCACAGTGGGCGACAACAAAACCTACAACGGCTACTGGAACGCTCCACTTTCGCCCCTGAAAAGCTACAGCATTTACTTCCAGGCTCTTAGCAAGGCAAATGGAGTAAGTGCAGAGAAAATTGAACTGGATCTGTACATATGACCTGTGTCTATCCTCCTCACCTTTCTCCTTCCTTTGCCAGTTTAACTCCTCCCTATTATTACCCTTTTACAGACATTTGATGAAAATTAAACATTCCATTACTTGTCCTTCACTCCAGTCTCTCTCTGATGCCTAGGTTCAGTGCAAAAGCTATTGGGAAGCCAGACTCTGTAAAAGGACATGTTGGCATGTGCTTCACAAAATGAATTGCTTAGCATTTGGATTTTTTCCCTTGCATATTCATGAACGTTAGAGTAGGGACTGTCGTGCTTTTAAAAGATGTAACTCCGATATCCTAATAGCACAGTTCACAGTGCTTGTGATTTTGGATGAGACATTATGAGATGAGAACTACCCAAAAGCTATGAGGTTGGATTACCTTGTAGCTTGCATTTGGTCACATCATAATCTAGCATTTATGGTTGGGAGTTTCAGTTTGAGTAAGTTGTTCTTCAGGGGGGACTATCTGCATGTCTTTCTTACTCCTTTTGAATATCCTGGACTATATTTTTACGTATATTTTGTGATATTAAGTTTAAAATGGAGACTGCACAGGAAACATAGTCTGCCCTATTCTCAAATGACGTACACGTAATGTGCCACCAGATGCCATCATAGGAAAAGAGAAGGCCTTTTTTCCCCTCTTCTGTTCTATTCCAGCCTAGGGTAGTTTGTGACCTTCACTTTCCTGTTTCAGATTGCTTCAGCTAGCAGTGCACAGGCCAGATCCTGTCTAAGCAGTCATTCACCTTCCTCCTCTTTGAGTCCCCATTTATTTTCCATCATCACATAACATGATACAATTTGACACTCTGGCCTCATGAAGAGTCTTAGAGTATTAACGTGGCATCAAGAAGTTGGGTAGCCAAGTCTGTTATTAGCACATTTGCCACTGCTTTCATGAATCTAACTTTAACATAGATAAATTCTCTAAGATATCACCTCTGAAAGAGCAAAATTAGAAAAATCAATCAAAGGTGAACGGTTTAGGCTTTGGTCTCCACTTGGGATAGTGTCTTTTATACCCAAAATGCACATCACAGAGGACTGTACATTGTTTAACAGGCTAGCAATGCCAATGATTGTTCACAACATATCTTGGTGGTTTAGTACCTTCGTTTATCACGATTCTCTTGCAGAGCTTCTGATATGTGGCTGACAAGCACGAATCTCTTCAATACTGTGCTGGTTTTCGCCTTGGTTTCTTTTCTAGTCGATACAGTTCCCTTCCAGCGCGACTCAATTAATTCAATTTTGGATTTGCCTTCATAAAGGAAATTGTGAAATATATGTATGTGTCTCTCTGTGTCTAGTTAGTTCCCCCTTGTGTGATAGTTAATTGCTATTGAATGGATCCCCAGGGAAGAAGAAACTTTATTTGCTTAAGTACAATATAATATGCCATAAATGGGTTATATGAAAGGAAATGTAGGCATCCCTTTGCATTCTGGATGTAAGGCAGCACTGATGTGTGGTTCTTGCTTTTTCTAGATCTCTGTAGCTGGCAGGCTGCATCACACTCTACATACACAGTGATGAGGACTCAAAAAAGGATGACTTGCTTGGCCCGTTCTAATAGAAACACAAGACTATAAAGGACTTTTTTAAGCATAAGTTAATCAAAACAGTCTGTATGCAACAATACACAGTTCATGACAGCATGAGAAGTATCCTGCCAGACAAAGTAAATTCCTATTTGAGCAAGCAATTGCCTCCTGTGTTAATAATTTATAGTGGTAAAGTATGTGCTTATATATCCTTGAAGTGCAGTGCTAAGGGAAAAAATATAGAGGAAGCGTCCAAGAGTGGAATGTGGATTTTCAGAAGAGTAGCTGTGATACTTTTTATTTCTCAATAAATTCCTTAAGCCCCACATTTCAAACATTAGGGTCTGATTTGCAACTGGTGTTTTTCAGGTGTAATAAGCTTTGTTTAATTCCCAGAATTGTTTACAGGTATAATGTCTGTTGAAGAGTTCTGGGTTTTCATTTATGTCTATAATATGAGCAGCTTTGACTGGTCTTCATAGAGCCTACTAATAATTATGGCTGCAACATGGCATTTTTGATAATGCACACCTGCAAAAAATCTGAAACAGTAACAATTTAGCACAATTAAAATATAGCCTTATGTTCCCTTGCACATGAAAAACTTAACAGAACATTGCCACTCATTTTTTAATTAGGATATTCTATAGTTTCATTAATCACTGACAGTTGTGGAATGATGAAATTTCTTTCCACACCTGGAACCTGCATTGAGAAACCTTTGTGCAGTGAACCAGAACATCTTCCTTTGGAAATGTAGGACTCTGGGGAGAACTTAATTTGAAGAAACATTGTGTATTTGGTCAAAAAGCTTGATTAGGAGGAGGTACAAATGTTACAGGAGTTCTGCATTGTTTCAGTTCCTCTGTACGTGGAGGGTTGTGCTCATTTGGTGTTCTCGTCTGTTCTGCAACCATTAGCCATGATTGTTACAGTGAAAGGAACATAATTAACAGCTGGATGCAAAACAAGTGTGGCAGATTGCTGCAAAATCAGATCATGAGCTTTTCTGCCTTCTCTTGTGCAGTGTTGTACTTGTTGGAGACTTTGAATGAGATAGCTGTTGCTGGCTGAATTCTCTTCTGTGGACAGTTGCATGAGGTTTGGTCAATGTGGTGTTGCTTCCAGACAGGGGTCTAAATAGAACATGTGTGAAACAGATTGGTTTTCAGCTTTGTTATACAAAAAGCTTCCAAATTGTGTGAATTTCCCTCCTAGGGGGTGTTGGAAGCCAGATGCTGAACTGAAATGTGTCGGAGTTTGAAGCAAGAGGGGAAAAAAGAGAAAATGGAAACAGAAGCTCCAGGCTTTTGTAACTGTGGGGGTGAGAAGCACCATTAGTTACTGTTTAATTGTTAGAAGGAGTTAGGACAAGAAGTGACACAAGAAGAATGGACAACTGGCTTGGCTCTCGTCTGGCAGGATCTCCACACACGCTGTCGCAGCCATCCAGGTAGTTAACTGATGTTTGCTGGTTGTCCTGGTGCCACCTGCTGCAGATGGCTGCCTGACAGAGCATGAAGTCTTCCTTGTCTGAAAAACCTCCCTGAGCTCATCCCCTTTAAAACACCAGCACTTTCAGTGTTTATCCCTCTGACAGGTGATGTCAGGGTGGCAACACTATGTTACTCCTTATCCTCTCTTATCCTTACACTGACTTAATAATCAAAGTTTAAAGTTGCAGGTTTTCTGGTCCCCAGGTTCTTTATCAGGGTCATTGTAAGTGACAGTCTCTGGTTAGTGTGATCCAGCAACATGCTCAAATGGGGAGAATTCCTTGGCTGCTGTGTGAAACCTGCCTGAATTTTTGAACAGCTCAGAAACAAGAGCTTCCTAAAACCCCTTCCTGGAGTTGCGTTTTACTTCATTGAGTTAAAATGAAATCTGCAACAGCAGAGTTGCAATCAATAACCCTTGGCCATTTTTCCTCTGAATGGGAGATGAGGCAGGAGCCTTTGTAACGCAGCTGGAGATGATGTGGGGGATGCTGCCAGCTGCCCCTGCAGCCTGGTGGTCCAACAGGTAAATGATGTTTTCAGGCCAGAATTGTGAAAAGTAGCACCACAGGAATCAATGAGAATATTATTTTTGAGGGAATGATAGACTCTAAGGAGATTCTTATTGATTTTTTTCCCTCTCTAATGACTTGTACTACATGCACAATCAGGCAGTTCATTATTACCAGGGGACTTCAGGCTGAATTTCTCGATGCTGACAAGTCTACTCGCAGCATACAACATTCTTCTCCTGGGACACTGTGGAGGTATGGATAGAGCTGCCAGCAGAGAGGTGGCATTCATCCCTGTGGAGATGGTCCACAAAAAAAAACCACTGAGGTACTTCAGTTCAGCACGAGCCATGTTCTGAAAAATGAAGTGGCACCAAGGCTGCCTGCATTGCTTCTGTGAGCTATTAAGGAGCTTTGAGGAGCTCTGTGTGCAGCAGGATGTCGGGTGTACTGCTTTGTTGTCTTATGCTTACATCTTAATCTCATGTTGGAGATGCTGGGGCAGAAATAAAGCAGCTGGGGAAGCACTTCACTCTTTTTAAGCCCCTGTTTCCACATCTGGTTGGCCATCTTGGGCCACAATATGTGGACCTGGCTTGTTTCTGCATGATAAATAAAATCCTTCTGCAGTCTACCTCACATTTGAGAGGTTGAGAGGTGTGAGTGTTAAATGATTAGCTGTATATCATTGAAATAACTTCCTACTGTAAATAATGAAAGTCCTAACAACTTTGTTGAACCTCCCTTCTCCAAATGACATGGATACTAAAAATAGCTGGCAATTGAAAAGGCAATCTAGGTTTTGCTTATTCTCTCAGACAACTAGCAGTTTCCTTAAGCTGGCAGTAGAAATTATAGGGGAGTGCATTGACCCTGAACAGACATATGCACATGATTAATTTTAAAGACTGCGAAGAGTTGGCTTCAGTGGGATAAAAAAGAAACACACGATCTAGAACTCCCCTGAACGTGAGCAAAATTTGTTGAGGACCAGAAAAATAATTCCTTAAGACATTCAGTAGACAGAACCACAGTTTCTATCCTGTGTGAAGCAGGTTGCCAACAAGCGTGCTTAGTGCATAGCTCTGGGACACGGGGAACTAAAGTTGAAACTGAGGCCAAGTGGGACATTGATAATTACCTGTCTTGTCTGTGCACCAGCAAAAGTTAAAATTGCCTGTCCCTGATTTGAGCTGCCTGATGAAACTGTACCTGTTGCAGGGCAGCCGCAAACGGTACATCTGGGGACAGCAGGTCTCACTGGTGATGGCACATGGTTCTTCAGGCAAGGCAAACACAGTTTAACTAATGTAAAATCATAATACTAGTAAAGGAAATAAAAACTAGTGGGTGTGCAAACATGGATGAAAAAGCTCTGCTACTCTGATGCTTTTATTGTTGTTTGTAGTCTGTAAACAGCAAGCTGTCATTTTAAAAGAAAAAAAAAATATTTGCCCTTTTAGGTTGTGAAGATGCAGCTGTCACAGAAACTCATGTCCTGCTGCCCTCATAGTCCTTTTTTTGCAGAAAACTGTTCCCGTCCAAACAATGAAAAGACAGAGGCAGAACTTGTTATCATCCAGTGTACTTGAATCAAATGTGTGTTTAGAAACCTAAGTAATTAGCAGACAACATCAGCTCCCTTGCTTCAAAAAAGTATGAAATGAACTATATTAAAAGGTTGTTTAAAAAATCTGAAAATTCAGTGGGCTGCTAAAACAGGCTCTTCAAGGCTGTGTGCACGAGCTGTGTGGGCAGAGAGGGCTCACCCAGCTCCTCAGCAGTCTGTCTTCTTGTCAGAGGGTCTCCAGCTCATTCTGCCCTCCAGAAACAGTCCACCAGCACTCCTCATATGGTCTGTGTCTGTGGTGCATGGGCTTAAAAATTTAGCCAGGGCTCAGCCTTGAGTTGAGGGTACACCACAATCATGTTTTATTCATATGGAAGTTCCAGAAAGCAAACTTACGTAAAGGTTGTCCAGCAAACATGTAGATGGGCTTAATAGGCAGTAAGCTCCCTGGATACGAAGCATGTTGGAAAATGAGGGTTGGATCAAGAGCTGTAGGGTGTATTCATGCAATGTTTTCCTATTCCAGGATCTTGGTTAAAATATGCCTACATTTTTCTATTACTGTTTGGATACAAAATGTCTGCTGTAACCTGGCAGTGATATAGAACTGAAGTAGAATTGCTAGTGGGATCTTAAATTGAGTTATTCCTGTGACTTCAGCCATAATACAAAACAGGTATCTTATGCTGGGAACTTGGGTCATCATTAAGATTGTTGTAGACATAAGGCGTTGTAAAACTTCTGTGATATCATAAAATGGGAATTAGGTATCAGAGTGTTTGAAAGAATGTTCAGAAACAACAGAGACTGAAATTTGAGGAAATTATTTTTGTTTTGTTTTGTTTTTCAACTTTTTAATTATCTCTATTTCATTATTTTTCTTATAATTGCTTTAAGCCATCGGAATGGATAATTGAGAATTACCTATGTTGTTTATTCCTGCTTTACTATTGTCTAAATAGAAGTATCTTACTTCACTGTGGGCAGGAAAGCAAAATCAAAAGTAGTGTTCTTCAGAAGACAAATGAGGTTGTGAGAAAACGGTTTTATTGGTTTTTAGAAAAAAAAAATGTCTATTTATTTATTCTGTTTCTTGGTAGAAAAGTTCATACAAACAATTCTCAGCATCTATCAGAGAAAAATAGAGTAAATTTCAAGAGATGTAATTTTTATGAGACACCAAAGAGATGAGCAGTGGGTTGATCAATGAGGTGATCAATGGAAATGGATGAATAATCAGCCCTAATCAGGTATATGGACTAAGTTCAAGTCTTTAAAATTTAGCATCCCTAGTAGTTGGATGTCTGATGTCTGTGCATGTTTATTTTAGGTTTTCCTTCTCGGAATTTGCAATTTGAAATGAAGTTCTGAAGTCCAGATGTCTTGTTCCTCTAGTGATGGATTGCCCTTGCTTTTGGCAGTGCCAGATCATGGTCTTCTAATAAGTATGATTGTCTGTGCTAAATGCAGCAATTAGTAGATGTGGATGCAAACAGAACACACTGCATCCTGTCTTCTCAGATTACCCTGTGGGAGGGTAATGTGCAGGAATATGCACATGCTCAAATGAGATCAGTTACGGCGTCATTAATAAGATTTCAGTTTTTGTTTTCTCACCTCTTCTTTTCTCGGCATTGACTAATTTCTCCAGCTTTTTGTTATACTTTGAAGCTAGCAGAAAGCAACAAATACACAAGAAAATTTTCCTCAACAATATGTGAGCAAGTGTCCGCCTTCTTTTCAACTACAAAAATGCTATCTTGGTATTTTTTATTTTATTTTTCATTGCTGATTTTCCAGGTCACCTTGTCATAGATTGTAAACTACATCAGGATCTGTCTGTCTTGTATTTCCCAGTATTATGTGATGAGGCTGTGCTCTGAAAATAAAGCTGTGTTTTTCCTGCTTCATATATCATCACTAGCAATAAAGATTTTGGATTTCCAGAATAGCTGGCAATTCGAGCTGATTATACACGAGGCAGAGACAAATGGGGAGCTCTGTTGTACATCTGTGTTGACTTTGCAGTGCCGAGGGTTGTACAGGCTGTGCAGGGGAGTTGATTTTTGCGGGAGAGAGACATTGGTGCACCAAAGAGAGATGCTTCTGGTTTACTGGGAGAAACTGCTTCAGTCCCACCCTGGGGGCTATGCAGCTAGGGAATGATGTCCTTAATATGGTTTCTCCTTGGTGATCCAGGAGTTCCTTAAGAGAGTTTGAAGGCAAGATCAAAGGGGCAGTTTGTCCTTCTGAATGTCTTGCCATTTCTAGACTACACACGGGGTTGCTTATATCCCAATAGTGTGGCTGATTGGTATCTTGAGGCAGGTGTCGAATGGGATCAGAGGGAATCACTCTTCTGTTTCCCAGTGTGGATCCTGCAGTCGTCCCCTTCCTATGTGCAATGTAAGTGTGAGGAGAAAGGCACGATGGGACTGTGTGTTTCTGCTCAGGCCAAGGAGGGCCTGTCACAGATGGAACAGATTTTTTCCAAGAACAAATTCAGACTTTCACAGTGTTCATCTTACTGCTTGAGGATGGAATAAGGTGCTCAGCAGGGCATTTGCTAGGCTGTTGTTTCCAGAGCACAGACAGCATCCATATTAATGTAGCATGGTTACACACAGTAATTTATGCAGTATTCATTACACCTGAGGCATGTACAAGAGTGTGTAAAGACATAAAGTGCTACGAAAACCCTGCAGCAGATTACTGCCTGACAAATTCAGGTTTTTAAACAGACCAATACATTAAGATTTGCATGGGAATTGTACATAGGACAGAAGCAACCTGTGTCAATAAGGGCTGTAGAATGAGGAGCTGGAGATAGCAGAAAGGATGTGTTTTCAGCAGAGGTAGCCTGAGAATGCTGCCGAGTTTGAGCTGTTAGTTAAGCCAAATACAACATTGCTGTTCCGATCCAAACTCCTGTTTACGCAGATCTGCAAGCTCTGAGGTGGGTTGAACAAAAGTGTTGGGTTTTATCCCAGCTCTGCAATGAAAAACTGCAGTGGTGTGGGTTGTGTTTGAATAGCTCGTTTGGCAGAGCTAGCCATGCAGCATGCTGTTTTGCTTCACATACATATCAGAGAGCTGAAATATTCAAATGACTACTTTGGTGTCTGTTTGCCATGTGTTTAAGTAAATACCCAATTTGCAAAATTTGCAGTAATGGTGCATGAAAATTAGATGTACAGTTGCATGTACTTTTGTCCCAAGGCTTGCCGGCCAATTACAGATCAGGTCATTTAATTGGTAAATTCTATTAGTTAATCAGGCAGTTACACAGGATCCATCACTCACACGTCAAGTGTGGAAAAACCTGTTGTCACTCTTAACTTCTCAGTAGTTAGAGAAGCAGCTGTAGGCAAGTCCATTAGTATGGAGTATTTTATGCAACTGAAACTGTTGGTGGTATTTTCAGAGATGAAAGAAAAATGCTTATTTTGTTTTAGTACCTTTCTAAAGGAATATATGTTTATTGTAGATGGGTAAATTACACACCTTGATGTTTTCCCTTTTTTTTTTTTATTTTTCAGGAAACAAAAATCAACTGTGTCCGGCTGGCAACAAAAGGTATGTGGATCTCTTTTTCCTGCAAAGCATGGTAGCAGTAATGTAAAAGCTGCAGTGGTAACACAACTTGATTACAATTCCTATTCAAAGAACAATCCTCTTTTTCTGGTTGTTTTTTTTTTTGTTTGTTTGTTTTGGGTTTTTTTGTTTGTTTGTTTGATTGGTTGGTTGGTTGGTTTGGTTTGGTTTGTTTTTTTTTTAAGGAAGATTACAAAGGCAGAACAACAATTTCTAGAACCACTCCACTTTGTGTGGACTGTTAGTTCTTTTAAGACTGGGTATCTTTCTCCATCTCTGTGATTCCTCCTTTCCCTTACTCTGTTGACAGCCTTCCTGTCCTGATGACTGTTCTTGCTATTGGCAGAATGTCATTGAAGAAGCAACATTAACTTCCTATTAAATTTGTCCTCTCTGCAACAATATAAAGTAGATAAGTATGAGGAGATCTCACATAAGCCTAACCTTGAACTCAGCAGGACACCATTCTTATATCACACCATTTTCATTTTCATTCAACAAACTAGTAGAGTACATTCCTTGTTTTCATTGCAATTAGTTCAGAATAAACCAAACTGATAGGTCAAATAGACCAGACTAAGCAAACCTGAGACAAACATTGTTAAGATGCGGTGCTCCAATCCCTAGGTTGCTTCACAAGGTACAGCTCTTGAGGGACCAGTGATGACAATGTCTGGTTTCCTTCTTTGAGTTTAGAGTTGCTTTTAACAAGTCCTGTAAGGGCTTCAAAATCACACCAGGGGCTACTTTGCCAGCAAAGGTGTCAGAAACCAATTTACTTGTAACACGGAGGAGCAGCTGTAAAAAGATTTCCTCAACACATGTCATAGTCTCAGAAGGAGCTGTAAGGAGATGATAGGGTAATTGCCATGGGCTGTGCTACAGGTAGCTCTCCATTTCCAAAACTTGGGGTTGCCACCTTGTGCTCTCACTGCTTTGCTGTAATGTGAGATAACTGCATTACTGCCTCTGGAGTCTTTTGAGAGTTAAACAAAATTGGCAGGAACCCATGACTTTTTTTTCTTTGAGGCACCATCCCATTTTTTCCATTCTTTTCACTTCTTTATGTTTTGGGGCAGCAACAGGAGTTAATTACTTCTGGGTACTTTCCCTTGATCACTTCTGCATCTGCACTTACAAAGGAGTTGGGAGAGTTCAAAGAAGCCCCAGCTAGAAGTTGTTGGGTAGCAGCGGAGGACTTTTTCCATCTTCGTATGGAGCTGTCCCCCAGTCTGCTACAGAAGGCCCTGCACCAGGATGGCAGTGCTGCACGAAGTTCCCGTCTGTGCAGCTCTTTTCACTGCTGAGGCCTGATACACAGACTGGTGGGGTGGAGCAGTTGTGTCACCACTGAAAGCCAAGGAAGATGAGCTGTTTCTCCCTTTCTCCTTTTCAGCTGATGCTCCCCATATCTTCTTGTTGCTTTCCTTTTAATTCTTCATAAAATCTTTATTTAACTCATTTCTCTGGGTTATAAACATTCTGCGTGTCTCAGTCCCCCTTCCTTCCCCCTCATTTTTTTCCAGCTGGTAGTGATGTGACCATTTTGAATACCTTATTTTGGCTTTCTGGTGGTAGAAAGAGAAAGAGCAAGACTGGGTAAGATGAGTCTGGGTGAAATGAGTCTCCTCAGGGTTTTCTCAGAGCATGAGTAGAGGTCTCTTCATGAGATCAGAGGAACTGGATTAATTTGTGTTTGGAAACCTGTAGTTTCTTCCATTTCTGTTGTTCCTTTTTCTGGAGTTGGTGGAAGAATTTTGTCATACTAGCAGGAAAGATATTTGCTCTGTGATTATTCAAAGAAAAATAAAAACCTACATAGCTTGAAAAGTCTCATTCTTGCATGACCTTTTGATTTGCACTGTCTGATTTGGGTACTTCAGAAAAGTGCCATATAAGTGTTTGACCTTGAGTTGGCTTCTGCAAACTGATTTAATTTTCATTAACCTGTTAGGTCACCAGGAAGAGTCAATAAGCTTACCCTTATTTTGTTGTTTGTGAATGTTATTCTCTTTTTAAAAAACATCTCTTACTAATGTTAATTTGATAAGAGATAAAAAAGAGATAGGTAGAGCCTGAGGATGCCTAGATCCACTGCTTTTTGGTGATATTAATCTTTAGGATTTTTCTTGGTTGACATGCATGGAAAAGGACAATAAATTATGTCAATTATGGCTATTCTAGTGTTTATTCTCACTGTCTCAATGGATATCACTTGATTTATAGGCAGATGTCTTATTTCTGTATGTCGAGTGCGGAAATCTCTGTAGAAATTCTTTTATTTTTTCCTTTTTTTTATTCTTGTTCTCACTCTGAATATTGCAATGTTGTATTTCTCAGTGCCTGACCATTATTAACAAGGGCACTGGAATATGCACAACTGTGGCTAATTTTATGCAGTTTTAGCTTTTCAAAGGTACAGTACTGCCTGCAGCTCACAAGCAATGTAGCATCACAAGAGAATCTGTAGTCTTGATAATGTAACATATCTTCCATTGCTGGCACCTGCGAAGTCTGAGCAGCTGAGCAATACCTGAACAACGTGGTTCTGTGGTTTGGAGCCTTCCCATAGTTTCAGATTTCCATATGTCCAGAGATTGAATTCCCACCATACATTAACTCCATATGAATAAAAGGACTCAGACATTGCACATCCCAGCCCCTGAAGAGGGGTGTCGCATCTGCCCTCTCTGCTGTGCGGCAATGGACAGAGACACTCACAGAACTATAATTACATTGTGACCTGATCAAAGGCTGATAGCTGGGATGTTCTAGATGACCTACTGTGTCTCTGCTGTCTTCTGTCTACTCATTATATTGATTATCTTTAATGGCATTGCCCTGTATTTGCCTTTATTTGCATCGTTGTCTTTCTGAGGATAGAACGAGCAACCGTTCAGTCTGCCTTGAACAAAATAATCAGAGCTGCAGCAAAGATACTGCTGTGGTGGCTGTGGTAAGAGTCAGAAAAAAAAAAAAAAAAACTTTTTTAGAGTCATGGCTAATCTCGGCATTGACAGCTTAAAAGCTCTGCTTTGAGTTGGTACTCGGAACATATTTTGTTTTGACACAAGAAAATAAATACATACAACTGGTGCCAGACTATACGTTCATTTTGGCATATAGGCCTAATTTTTCCATTCCTAGACATGTGACACTGCAGTAGCTCCATTAACATTAGTGAAATGAGTTCTGATTTACACCAGTGACAGAAAGATTAAGATCAAGACATGTTTAAGTAAGACAAGTATTCTCTTGAAGTACTGGATTAACAAGGGCACTAAACATGAATGTGGGAGTAATTAGGCAATAAAATGTGTTAGGCAGTGTGTTACTGGGGGATTATAACACATCTTGGGTGTTGCTGCAAGGCACCTGCTCAGAAGCTGAGTAGCTTTAATTACTTGAGAGATGCATGAGGCTGTTCCACTGTCACTACTTCAGCAGGCTGGGAGGCAGTTTGCTTGCTATGTCCCATTGCCTCAAAACCAAGAAAATGAAAGTAGACATCTATTTGAAAAGTGGTTTAGTCCATTAAAGAGAGTTTTGGAGATTTTCCAGTTTCCTCTCCTCCCCTTTTAGCAAGAAATAGACTGTTCAGATCAACCCCTTTTCAGCTCAGCTCCTCGCAGGAGCTGCTTCCCATCTCTCCCGGTGGTGCACTCTTCTGCAAGGTTTTCTGCATGCTGCTTCTGTTTAGATGACCTGGATTCTTGTGATTGCAAGAAAGGTCTCTCAAATCTTTGTGTATTGGCTTATTAAATGTCAGGTGGGGAGGTGGGTCAGCGTTTCAGAGCTCTAGGTCATGACACCAGCAGTACATCCTTCAAAGTGGAGCTAGTAGATGCCCAACTGGGCAAGCACCTCTCCTGAGCTCATTTCCTTCCATCTGGTGTCTCAGTATAAGAGTTGGCTGATGCTGGTGGAAAGAGCCAGTAGCAGGGATTCATCATCAGCCTTTGCTGTGGTGACATTTGACAGTCCATCAGAAAGCTCTCTGTGTTTGTCTGATCTGTGTAGCCATTTCACATTTTGCCAGCATATTTTAAATCCATAAGCATTAACCTTTTGTATCTATGTATGTATTTATTTTCACATTAATTGATCTCGGATTTCTTACCACTTCTAGCCATAAACATCTCTCCTCACATGGGCTACTCCTCTTTTTTCAGTTACTAGAGTAATGTCATCTTTCACAGCATTAATCACTTGGATGTGTATCATTAGCATAAAACACTCTTTAGAAATAAATTTCTAATTAAACTGCGATTTACCAGCTCTCTGTCATACAGTTCTCATTCAGCCAGTTTATTTATTATTTTTGGCATTTGGTTTCCTTGATAGAATTTGTTTTAATGTGTCCCATTCTTTCTGAATTAACTGACTTGTTCCCCCTGTCTTAAAGCAACGTATTTATATTGACACTTTATTAGAGAAAATTGCAACCTCTTACCAAGAGAGAGAGATTAACTCTCGTATTCTTAAAGTGCATTAAATTAATTTCATAGTGTAATTGAAACCAAGGCGGAGGGCTCATTAATGGATCCTTATCTCTTGATACTCATTTATTCTTTCTTTAAAATGTAAGTTCTTGCAAATGAAAGAATGGAACTTTTAATAATCAATATGAAGTACATTTTTTTTTCCTTGTGCATGCTGCCTGGGAACAATTTTCTTGTTCTTAGCAGTAATAGGTAGGCAACCTGTGACCGTGACCATGCGAAACCTGCCCGGCCTCTTGAGCACAGGTGATCATCAGTTCAGGAAAAGGAAAAAAATTCCAGAAGTCTGAGCAGGCTCATGACTTCTTGTGTCATATTTGGTTTGCATGGGAAAATACTTTTACAGTTAATCTAACTACAGTAGAAATGGGGCACTCCTTGTGCACTGAAGTCCAAACGCCACTTAGGTCTTCATAGAAGCACTTGAGCATGACTGAAGAGCCCCATGGATCCCTTGCTGGCCCTCTGCAGAGGCTGGCT